TGTGTGAGGCGCCCATTTTGGGGGCCCACCCAAAATGTAACCTCCAGTGGAAGTGGCATCATCTCAAGCATGCTGACGTCAGGCAAAGATGGGCTGGGCTCCAGCCGGGATCCCTTCCGCAGCCCCAGCTCCTGAAGATCACGGGTCAAAGCGCGCCCACGGCAGTTTCGATTGTACTCCAGGTTTCTGACAAGTCTTTTCACACAGCCAGCAGACTCCAGCCGAATGACCTAGGTTAGGTTAATAGGGTTGCTGAGGGAAAAGGGGTAGAACATCATGAGGCATGGTTGGGCTTAGAGTTGCACTGGAGGGGCCGTGGGGTTCGAATGAAAAGGGTTCAAATGAGAGTCAAGAGACCTTTGTATACTCGCCGATATCATTCCAGTAGTCAGTCATCGAATACAATTCGTGGGGTAGATTGTCAAGCGTAGCCTCTGTTAGTTTGTCCGCATTGAGGTCATCAAGCTTTAGGCGGCACAAGCAGCAGGGATGGTCAGAATGATTCCAGAACCGCAAGCCGGTAATTTCCAAGTATGCCGGCCAATCACAAGTTATGTCCAGCACTGCACATCGATTGGACTCCTGCAACTGCTGCAGATCCAGAGCCCACGCATGCAAGAGGGGGTAGATTGAGCACCNNCCGGCACCCGCATTTGCACATGTCTTCAGTACCTGAGGATTCCAGATTTCACAGGGACATTTGCAGACATCTCAAAAGGGTTCCGGGTTACGGGATTACAGGATGTATGGCTTTAGTGTGCTGGGTTTAAGGTTATAGGAGGTATAAAGAAGGTTGGATTTGAAATCATCGTTATATGGAGCCTCGATTTGGACCCCAAAAATAAGTTGCTCAAGACCAGAAAATGTTCAAAGAAAGTCCGAGGAGCGCAAGAGAAAGGAGAGAAATTTCTGGCCAGAGAGAATGTCAGTGATGTAAAACCCTGTGAAAGAATCATGCACGGAATACCGCACCCCATCCCAGTATAAGGCAAGCGGTCGGACAATCTCTGTTTCCCTGTTGGCCCGAGCCCTTCGAACAACTGGATGCTGCTCATAGCAAGGCAATCCTTGCAAGTACTTCGCAAGATTGACATCGTCCTTCTTGTAAACTTCATCCTGGAAAACAAACTTCTCAAGCAATTTTGAGGGGAGCATAATGGGAATCTTCTCGGAAGTTCTTCGGGCTTCCCTTTTCTGATACAGTGGCACATCGATGTACGTGAGGTCGCGGTCAGGAAACACTTTGCCAGCGTGGAGCGTCACATGCTCAGAGCCATGTCGCTTTGCGAGCTCGGGCTTCAGGGCTAAATCCTGCACCCCAACACCGCCAGCTTTGGTTATCCAGTGGCAAAACTCCGCCACATCAGACCCTGGTAGCAACCCCATGACGAATCGGTCTAACAGCAGCTGGCGCAACTTCTCGCCAGCCCCTTGTCTAGCTGAACTAATCCCATCATGGCTGTCCTCCTCCTGCTGCACCTCTGCCAATGCACGTTTGCGCATGACAGAAAAAGTCTTGAAAGACTCAAGCAGCTGGGAAATCACATGACGCCTTCAACAAGCTTGCGAATTGCAAACGTCTAAGAACGCGTGGAATTCAAAGAAAACTCCAGACCCCTTTTGTCGCGCTGACATGTGGTTTGATCGAGGCGCTGCTTTGGGCGTTTCGGGCCCAGAGCACAGCAGAATGATCTGGCAATCCCCAGCCTACGAATGTCATTGCTGGCTAGAGCAATGGACACAAGCATACATCAACCATTTGCAATGCGATTCCATTGCCGCAAAAACACTTAGTTTTGGGTTTGCTCCTTTACAGCCTTTGCTGTTGCCCTCTTCTTGGCGGGTTTCTTTGGCTTCGCGCCGTCAACACTGCTCAGGCCTGCCTTCGACATCACATCAATCTTGCTGGCAAGGGCGATCATCCTTACATCAGTCGCGCATTTTTCAGTTCAGGGTTTAGGCGGCTTAGGGTCTTAGGGTAGTGATACATAGAGTCAAGAAAATTACACGCGAAAATGACACGCAAAAAGCGAGGTACTACTATAAGGACCCAGGAAAACATCCTCGAGTTATTCAAGTGTCTGGTGGGCAATCGCTTCTGTCCGGTCCACGAACAAGGTCAACATGGGGAGGTACCTCATGCCAAACTGCCGCTTCATCTCCTTGGACGCGGTGGGGCTGATGGCCGCAAGCTTCAGCTCGTTGGCAAACTCTGTCAAATCATCGCCCTGGTCCGGATTCAGGGCTGCCTTCAACTGGCACTGAATCTTGCCAAAGTCCTGCAACAGGGGCTTGGCCCACACCCATTCAGAAGGGAACTTGTCAATTTCCCCGGTGATGCGGTCGATGATCTGGGCCGCCTTCTGCAGGAGCACAACG